AGCCGTGGGGAGACCCCTGCCGGTACTGAGATGCTTACATGCTCATTGATTCAGTTTTCCTCCTGCAGTCGGCATCATAGTGTGTGTTTTGTGAGATGGAGGAGGACTTAGTAGATCAGTGTCGGACATATGGGCTAATGTTGGACTTATGGGCTTGGACAGCACTGAGTTGGGATGTTTTCTTAATGTATGCTTACCCTTTATATGAAACTCTCATATATGTGTGTGTGTGTGTATATATACATATATGAGTTTCTGTGGATTTGTTTCTCTAGTCTACCCAGACTAACACAGGCTGCTAGCTGCAAGGTTAGCAGTTTGAAACCACCAGCTGCCCTGCTCGTGAGAGATGAGGCTTTTTATTCCCAGGAAGAGGTAATAGTCTCGGAAGCCCCCAGGGGCAGGGAGGGAGTTCTACCCTGTCGCATATGGTGGCTGCGAGTTGGAATGCGCAGGCTGGGAGCTCGGTGTGGGTTTGTTGTGCACAAGCAGAGTTGGTCCTGGAATTGAGTTTTCTTAAGAGACAGAAGCATCAGCTCATCATTCAGAAACTACACCAGACAGGGAGATTCATGTTGGTGGTTCGTGGCTCTTCTGTTTCCAGAGAAGATGGTCTTTACTTATTGAGAAGATGGTCTTCACAACAAATGGAAAGAACGTTTTAAGAAAAAACTCACCATCCTTCCAACACCCAATGGGGGCCTGTTTCGGTAGATGCTGCCATGCCAGGCATGATTTTTTCCGCATAGATACAGACATTTGATATACTATATCTTCAACCTGATTTTCTTGTTGTAACCTTGTCTTCATTAACGATAGTATTTCATGGCGATATGACAGTTTGACCCGGGAGACTTATACTGCCGCCCCTCATGCCATCCCACAGTTCCACAGTGCAGCCTCTTCATGAGGATCAATTTCTGTGACCCTGATTTATTTCCTTGTGCTATCTTCCCTGCGGTGGGAATTCTCAGGGCAAAGTTAGGAATGTCTTCACAGCTTAACTTGCAGTGTTTTACAGAAATAAATCCTTATATTCTCCCTGCCTCCTCTTTTTTTTTTTTCTTCTAACATCAATCTATATTTCATCAGAATGAGCCCAGTGGTGGAGCTGATCTAACATCTGGTGAAGTGTTTCAGACTCGTGTGCCAACAGGTCATTAATAAACTTGCCATCTGACCAGGCGTTGCTTCTTTGAAAACCACCATTTTCCCTGAAGAGTTTTCCCCATTCTTACCACCCTTCCCCACCCCCAAACTTCAAGTTCTCTTTCTCAGTACTTGGGGAAGGCACGCCCCCAACGTCTTTGGGTCTTTTCTCAGAAATGCATCCTTTATTTACTTTGGGAGTCCGGGCTTGTTTGCATATGTAAAACCGGCACCATATTGTTTGCAGATGCTCAGGGTGCTGCCAGATAATTGAACGTTAAAAAAAAAAAGTTGAGGTTTTTAAAATCATTTTCACAAACCTGACGCAAAAGAATACTTTCTTAGAAGGAAAAGGAAAAGAAAAAGTGTCACATGGCATTCACAGTAAGGGCATTCCCAACCCACCGAAGGTTAGGCATCTGGAAGCGGAGGTGAGTAGCATCATAGGAGATAAAGCCGGGTAGATAGAGCCCCCTTCTGATCTAGGAAAACAAAGGCCTGTGAGAAGTTAGGACAGATGGCAGAGTGAAAACTCACAGACCAGGGATTAGAAAGCACCACGTGGGGAAAGTAGAAGGGTCAGCGAGAAGGAGGGAGACCCCATACCAGGACTGACTCTGGACCAGCAACCCTGGGGCTCAAACCTCCCAGAGACGGGGGGGAAGGGTCTCCCAGAGTTACACCCTCACTCCAAACACCCGCAGTATTACCAGTACATTTCCTATCGCAGCAATAGAGTCCTGTTTCGTTATTATATTTAGAAATCTAAAAGGCCGATTCCGACTCCTGGCGCCCCCATGCGTGTCACAGTGGAACTGCCCTCCAAGCATTTGCAGTGGCTGATTTTTCAGAATTAGATGGACAGGTCTTTCCTCTGAGGGGTCTCTGGGTGGACTCAAGGGACCGGCCTCTCAGTAGAGTCCCCAGGGACCAACCAGGGACATTTTAAGATAGGAGGAGACAGAAACTAATTGTGTTTCCGGTCAGTATGGGACAACTGGGAGAGGCCCAGAGGTGATAACAGCTGTTGAATGGGGATGTTTTGAGGATTAAAGCCTTTTGTTAAAAAAAATAAATAAGAGAGAGAATTAGACAATCCTCTGTAAAAACAAAGGGGAGTATCAAGCACAAACTGACTGACTTGAATTAGAAGGCTGGATTCTTTTCCCCAAGTAAATGTTGAAATCTCCGAGAATGTCAGCAAATAGTGGGTCTCTGGTTGGCGTAGTGGGTTACCTGTCGGGCTACCAACCGCAAGGTCAGCAGTTTGAAACCACCAGCCACTGCATGGGCGGAAGATGAGACTTTCTACTCTGTAAAGATTTGCCGTCTTGGAAACCCATGGGGCAGTGCTGCACGGAATCGGAATGGGCTGGATGGCCGCGAGCTGTTATAGCTGCTGCTGAGTGACCTGCAAGGTCAATGCTCTTACAGCTTTTGCTGCCAGCTCCTCCCCTGCCTGAGCTAGGGCCCTGGTTACAAACATCAGCCCCTCCCCTGCCTGAGTTGGGCCCTGGTTACAAACATCAGCCCCTCTCCTGGCTCCAAGCTCCGGCTTTGGCTGAGGGGAAGGGGGTCAGGGTGAGGGGTTCTGCTGTGGCCTCTAAGGTGCTGGCTCCTCTTTACCTGGTGGGAGCCCAGGGTGGCTGCAGGAACCCTCTGGAGGCTGAGTACCAGGTATGCACCCTGTCCTCAGGGGGCCAGGTGGGAAATGCCCCAAAGCAATGAGCGGAGGCCCTGCTGGGAGCTGCAGTTGCCTCATCCGGAGTTCCAGCCCAGCCCTGAACTCTGCGGCAAGCCAAAGGTCTCTGGGCCTGAGAGGTGTGAGAGAAGTTGGAGCCCGTAAAGGTGGCACCCTTGGGCATCCTCGGGCCAGTCTGCTACTTCCTGCCGTCCCGCCTTCGCATCGCTTGCTCCATTTTGAAAGCAGGCTGTTAAAAACCAGCACTTCTGATTGTCACCGTACTTGGACCCAGTGGGGAGGGAGGGCATCAGCCTCCTGTCCCCACTCTTTCCCCACGAACCATAACTCAGCTTTCTGGATCAGCAATTCCTCCTGGGTTGCCATCTGTAAGTAGATGTCGACTCGTGTTAGTGCACGGAGTGGGATCATTCCTAGATTTGATGCCGACTCACAGCGACCCTGCAGGACAGGATAGAACTTCCCGTCTGTGTTCATCCCAAGAATGATAAACACGTTGCGTGTCCTTTCCAGGATCTGAGTCCTGGGTAGATTTCAGATTATGGGTCAATCACGTCCCTCCCCTACACTGAGATGTGGGATTTAGAGACAAATTGCCTTTTAAAATTATTTTTGCAAAGCCCGAAAGCCTGTGTCCCCTCATCTGTGACTGAGGGACAGTCCTCTGGGCCTCTCTGGTGTCAAAATCAGTCAGGGTGGTTCTCGGAGGAGCTGTACCTGGGGATTGTCACCATCACATGGCTATGATGTCTGATTCTTATTTCTGGGGTAACTTATTTCCCTTCACCCAAATCTAGCAGCGGGTCAGCATGTGTAGAGATTGGAGTTAGGCTGGACTAGAACTTCCCCGGCTTAAGCTCCGTGATGGGCACGTCAGGTCCTGGCCTGGAAAGGGCTTTGTGGGCGCCTGGGGAGGAGAGAGACCCTCTTTGCGCTGTTCTCCCTTCTTCTCAATCACTTCTGTTGCTTTTAACCTGGGTGTTGTCTTTGAAACGTTTTAACAAAGCAGACACACATCCACAACCTTGCGCTCAGGGACTGGCCAGTAATGATCCCATTTTTTGGTTTCTCCTCTCATTTTAAAATTGCCTGTAGGACTTAGTGAATTCTAGAATACTGCTCCAGAAAACAACACGGCCACTGCACATCCTTCAGATGGGTTTGATTTTGTTGCTTTTTTTCTTTTCATTTTGACGCCTCTTTTAGAAAGTCCTGGTGGTGCTATTGGGACTGCTAAGCACAAGGTCATAGATTCAAACCCACCAGCCATGCTGAGACGGGAAGATGAGACTGTTTGCTCCGGAGAGATTTAGAGCCGGAAAACGGTCTCCAGCGTTCCTGTGAGTTCGAATGCACTTGATGGCAGTGGGTGTAGCAAAGAGCATCATGTTTGGGGAAATGATACTCACTGCCATTGAGTTGATTCAGACTCACGGCCCCCCCGGGTGACAGAGTAGAACTGTCCCCAAAGGGTGTTATGGGAGCAGATCGCCCGATCTTTCTCCCACAAAACCCACCTTTTGACTGGCAGGGAAGCACATAGCCACTGTGCCACTAAGGTAAAGTAGAAGATGAGCAAAAAGGGAAGGATGTTCGGTAAGGTGGACTGACACAATCGCCAAATATTGAACATATCGAACATCCCCAATCATAAAGGTGGCCCAGGGCTGGACAACCTCTCATCCGTGACATAGAGTATACTACATGCATGTAATATGCTATGTAACTAATTAATATATATTTATAGGCAGTAGTTAAACCTGCTGTATATTATATAATTGCATGTTATATATTATATCATATTTAGTATATGCTACATATTATATGCAGGAGAAAGACAGGGCTTTCTACTCCCATGAAGAGTCACCATCTCATAAACCCACAGGGGCAGTTGTGCCTTGTTTGTAGGGCTGCTCTGCATTGAAATTGACCTGATGGTGGGGAGTTAAGTTTGTCGTTTTGAGGTGTCTTATAAAATGTTATCAATGAGTTTGTCTATGATCTGCCTGGGCAGCAGCTAACAACAACCCCTCTCTTCTCGGAAGCTCACTCTCATTTTATTTTCCCTTCCTTGTTCAGAAACTGGATGGACTGGCCAAGATCCGGACGGCTCGAGAAGCTCCATCTGAGTGCATCTGCCCCCCAGGTACGTGGCGTCTCACCCCGTACAGGGTCACCTGCCTCCTCTGCTGTGTGCTCACACCTGCTTTGGGCAGCAGAGCCCGCTGAGGCTGTGGTCAGAGGCTCGTGTTGCGGACTGCTGGAGCTCGTGGCTGGTCGTCCTGAGGCCTTTTCTTCGTTTTCCCTGGCTGGCTCACTCATCAGTGATGCTAGCCGAACGGACTGGCTGGGTTTGATGAAGGCAGTGCCTTTGTATAGGAACTGAAAACATGTTGGCAGTGACTTCCAGTAAAGGCTTAGACGGAGGGAAGTAGCCCCATCCCATTATCAAGGTGGAGAAGCTGATGCGTGAATCTCTGGGAGAGACCATTTGCCCTGCCCTAATATTGCACATCCAGCTCTGCTGCGGACGCGGAGAGGCCTGAGAAATAAGTTGGTGACTCCAGTATGGTTTTGCTTTGTGTTCGTTTCTCTCGGTGGCATTAGAGGGAGCAGAAAACACAGTTCGCGTGATTCAGATAATCATAGCTCTTTCTGGTCTTGCGGGTGTAGACTGGGATGGCTGGGAATAAAACCAGGATTTGTTCATTCCTAATCCAGGTGACTCAGACTCATATAGACTTTTCCGTACCAGAAAACAGGTCTTCCAGATGTCGACATGTGTGCGCTGTAGACACCGTGATTGAGAAGCTAGGTGTCAGCTCAGCCCGGGTGTTTTCCGGGCTGGAGTAGGAAACAGGTAGGACGTGATGACTTTTCGATCAGCTCAGAGAACTCAGTGGCTGACTGCGGTGGCCCCTATCCTGACCCTCATCGCTCTCACCTTATCCCCATCTGATTCAATGGTCCAGAAATTAATGATAGAGTAATTATCATCTCAAGGCTGAGAGATTCCCTGAGACTTCTGCAAAGGTGGATCTCGTGTGCATCAGAGAAAACTACGTCTTGGATGTGTCTTACTGCCAGAGGCTTTGTGACTAAGGCCCTTCCATCTGACACCCTGGCCAGGCCTGGGATTGGGCTCTGCCTTGGGAAATTACCTGTAGGACACCTGTGCTCAGACCATGGTCAGCCTGGGGCCAAAGTGGCCGACTGTGCTTGGGCATCCTTTCTCCTCTCTGTCCTATCAAAGAGAGCTTGGCAAGCAGAGGTTATCAACATAAGGAAATCAGTTGGATTCTTGTATCTTAAGGATGATGATCCAAGTACTGCCTTATGATCCAGCAATCTCTCTACTGGATATATACCCCAAAGAAATTAGCAATATAACACAAACAGATATATATATACACATCTAAGTTTACTGCAGCAGTTTCAACAATAGCATAAACATGGAAGCAACCCCAAACCCCAACTCTACACAAGTTCTGGTACATTCATACTATGGAATTTTATGCATCTGTAAAAAACAATGATAATTCTCTTACACACCACAAGACATGGCCAAAACGAGGGACCATTATGCTTAGCAAACTCAGTTAATCTGGCACAAGTAAATATTTAATATCACATTGTTATCAAGAAAACCAAAGAAGAGGAAGTGTGGTTTATACATCAAGAGACTAGACCTTGAGGCTAGGGACAGGAGTGGGAACAGGAGAAGAGACAGATGGGAGGGTGAGGGGTGGAGACAAAAAAGAAAGGAGGGTTTAACAAGAAAAGGGAAAATAAAATAAAAATTGCCTCATTGGAAAAAAACATGCCTCCAGAGTCTTTACTCCTCCCCATGTAACTGTTGGTCTGAGAGGCTAAAAAGATTAGGGAAAGTGAAAGAGACGTGACCTTAGTCTTTAGTGACATTTAAGTTCATTTCAAACTTATATATATATATATACACAAAATTCACTGCCATCAAGTGGATTCCGATTCATCGGAGCCCGTAGGACAAAGCAGAGCTGCTTCTATGGGGCTCCGAAGCTGTAAATCTTCAGTGAGCACAAAGCCTCTTCTCCCAAGGAGAAGCCGGCGGGTTTTAACAGGGACCTTGCAGTGAGCCGCCCAACTCACATGCCGCCAGGGCTCCTTGGGGCAAGTACATAGAGACCCCAAAATTACTAGGGCGATGGGAGGGAGGGGAAGAGGGGACACTCGTTGCTTAGGGGACACGGAGCCGTTAAGAGTGAAGGGAAATTTTGGATATAAATAATGATGATGGCTATTGCACAACATGATAAACATAATTAATGTTGCGGAATTGTACACATGGAGAATGTTGACATGGCAAATGATTTGTTACATATACAAATTGCAACACACACACACACACACAGAGGGGGAGAGGGGCGGGGGAGTTTGGGGCCAGGCTGCCAGAGCACAGTTGGATCCTCTGTTCAATTCTCAACATGTGCTGCTCTCAGCAAAGAGACTTTCTTCACCAGAAAGGGGTTGTTTTATTGTTTTACAGTGAATTTAATCTAAGACTGAAAAAGGAAGACCTGAAAGTGGTTGGGTAAAGTATCAAATTCAAGGACAATCACACTCATCTTGTTGTGAACCATCATTGCTGCCCATCTCCCACCTCCCCGAACAGACAGTCAATGCCCGTCAAGCAGCAACGTTTCATTTCCCCATCCCAAAGACAGCCACCAATAAACTCTGGGCTCTATCAATGCATTTGTTTATTTTAGATACTTCATATGTGTGATCCTTCAATGTCTGTCCTTTGTGCCTGGTTTACTTCACTCAGCATAATGGTCCCAAGGCTCACCCATGTTGCAGCTTGAATCTGAACTTCGTGTCTTCTTAGAGCTGAGTCGCGTTCCACTGTGTGTATGTGCCCCGTTTCGCTGACCCGGTCATCTGCGGATGGACAGCTAGGCTCTTTTCCACTGTGGGGCTGCTGTGAACAAGCTGCAATGAACATTGGTGTTCCCGTCTCTGTTTGAGTCTGGCGTTCGATTCTTTGGGGTGGAGACCTGGGAATTGGATCTAATTAATACTTTAAATAATGGTATCTCAAACATAGGAAATTCCAGAATATAATATTAAAAACAGTAGAGTAACTTCCGTTCCCGAAGCATCTTCAGAGTCACAGAGGTGCCTAGAGTTTCAGAGTGTTGTGTATCCTGCTCGCTTTCATACTTTTTTTTATAACAAAGAACCTGGTTATGACTGGTCCTCAAGTGTATACAAGTGGGCTAATCCAGCGAGTGGTGGCCCAGGAGCACCATAGATTTTCTACGTACACGCCTTCCTTGCTTTCCTATGGCAGGTATTCGTCTGCTAGGCACGGGTCTGCTTTTGTGAATGAGTCTTATTAGAAACTTGCCCTATCGCCAAGCCCCATTGTTTGCGTAAATAGTGTCCAGTCACTTAAGAGTATAATCTCTACAAGTCAACAATCCATGTAATGTGGCTAGTCGCCAGCCTCTATGTGTATAAT